AAGATTCTGAAAGGGATTTGTAATAAATGTCCATAGTTTGAGAGAGAAGTTAAAGAAATTTTCTAAAATGGAATAACTTAAAGCAGTAAATGTTTACAAGATGAATGTCCCCAAAAAGAAAGGGGATGGCTGAAGGGCTAGTTAGCACTGAAGTGACTAGGGAGCAGAGAGTATCCACTTGTAACATTTGGGTTGGTTCCTACCCTTTAAAGCCTTTAATGCTAAATACTAGTGGAGCTAATTGAAAAGCTAAAAGCATTGTTTGAAATTATTCCTTAAGTGATGTAGTTGCACTGTCCATGATAGATCTTCATATAAGACCACACAACCTTTTGGCAAAAACAAAGGGTGGACAAGATATGGTCACAAAATGTCATTAAAGAATGCCAGTTATATTTGACTACTGACAGGTAGCTCAGAGCTCTGTATAAAGTGCTATTGAAATACTTCTGAATAAAAATGTTTTCTAATCAACTATTTATCTAAATAAGAAAAATGAAAGAAGAAATTGACATTCGAATGCTTACCCTGTACTTGGTATTTCTATTGAGCATCTTGTTTTTTTTGTTTTTGTTTTTTTAGATAGAGTCTCACTCTGTTGCCCAGGCTAGAGTGAGTGAGTGCCGTGGCGTCAGCCTAGCTCACAGCAACCTCAAACTCCTGGGCTCAAGCAGTCCTGCCTGCCTCACCCTCCAGAGTAGCTGGGACTACAGGCATGTGCCACCATGCCTGGCTAATTTTTTCTATAAGTTGGCCAATTAATTTCTTTTTATTTATAGTAGAGACGGGGGTCTCGCTGTTGCTCAGGCTGGTTTCGAACTCCTGACCTTGAGCAATCTGCCCGCCTTGGCCTCCCAGAGAGCTAGGATTACAGGCGTGAGCCACCGCACCCGGCCTTGAGCATCTTTCTTAAGCCTGAACACCTCTGTGACAAATACATCCACATTTTACAGGTGAAGAAACTGAAGTTTACAGATAGGTATCAGGTAACTTGCCTAAGGTTGCACAGGTAGTAAATAAGTGTGTGGAATTCAAACTGAGTTCTGACTTCAAAATCCATAAATGTCTCACTGAACCACTAGTCCTTAAACCCTTGGGAGTCATGGACTTGTCTGAAAATCTGATAAAACCATGTCACCTTTCTTTTGAGAAATGCACGTAGTAGTTTTGGCATTTCATAGGGCCTAGACCTGAAGCTCTGGGTACATGATGCCAGGGTCAAGATCCCTGCATTAGACTATAGTGCATTAAGTAGCATTTATTTATCTACTTTTTAAACTTTAAACAAGAAATTACAATTTTAGCTGGACACAGTGGCTCATGCCTGTAATCCCTGCACTTTGGGAGGCTAAGGTGGGAGGATTGCTTTAGGCCATGAGTTAGAGACCAGCCTGGAAAACATGTGAGACTCTGTCTCTGCAAAAAATTTAAAAACTAGCTGGGTGTGGTGGTGTGCCTGTAGTCCCAGCTACTTGAGAGTCTGAGGGAGGAGGTTCACTTGAGCTCAGGAGTTCCAGGTGACAGTGAGCTATGATTACACCACTGAACTGCAGCCTAGGCAACAGAAAGATCCTGTCTCTAAAAAGGGGAAAAAAATACAATTGTAATATAGTTTAGAAAGATTGCAAAATTATTTCAACATACCTTCCTTTAAACTTTGACTAATTTTTTGCCTCTGGCAATGGGATCAGAATAAAAGCAGCAATTTCTTATTTATTTGTAATATAGCAATTTGTCTTAGAATAGTTAGATCTCAACTAAACATTATAAATAAAGTCCTGAAATTAGTTAATCTACATTTTAAAATAAATTAGCCCAGAGCTGGCCACAGTGGCTTCAGGAATTCAAGGCTACCGTGAACTATGATTGTGCCATGGCACTCCAGCCAGGGCAACAGTGAGACCACCTCTCTTATTTTTTAAGAAAAGAAAAAATTAAGCACTCTAGGAGGCCAAGGTGGGCGGATTGCTCGAGGTCAGGAGTTTGAAACCAGCCTGAGTAAGAGCAAGCACCATCTCTACTAAATAGAAAGAAATTAATTGGCCAACTAAAAATGTATATAGAAAAAATTAGCTGGGCATGGTGGCGCATGCCTGTAGTCCCAACTACTCGGGAGGCTGAGGCAGCGGGATTGCTTGAGCCCAGGAGTTTGAGGTTGCTGTGAGCTAGGCTGACACCGTGGCACTCACTCTAGCCTGGGCAACAAACCAAGACTCTGTCTCAAAAAAAAAAAAAAGAAAGAAAGAAAAAGAAAGAAAAGAGAGAGAAAAAGAGAGAAAGAAAAGAGAGAAAGAGAGAGAGAAAGAGAAGAAAGAAGAAAGAAAGAAAGAAAGAAAGAAGAAAGAAAAAGAAAGAAAGAAAGAAAGAAGAGAAGAAAGAAGAAAGAAGAAAGAAGAAAGAAAAGAAAGAAAAGAAAGAAAGAAAAGAAAAAGAAAGAAAGAAAGAAAGAAAGAAAGAAAAGAAGAAAGAAAGAAAAGGAAAAAATTAGCTCAGTGGCATAAAATTAAATCCTAGGCTCCAAATACAAATTTCAGCAAATTCCCCCATTATCTGTTAGCACCTGAAAAATATCAGATGCTATACAGAAATTATTTGTGCATTATTCACAAGGAGAAAGAATACAAGCAGCCATAGTGCCCATCTTTATTTTCTTTGACCTCAACTTATCCTCTATGATCCTGGATAAAATGGTGGTAGATAGTAAAGCTAGGAACTACCTAATATATTCTCTTTAAAGGAATGATCACAAATGCCTAAAATTAAAACATCTGCTTTATTTATTGATAAACAATCATACCCTAAGCTATCTATCTCTCTTAAATGATCCAAGAAATAATTCTATTAAGATAAAAGTGAACCCTAGAATAAAGATATTCCCAGAGGACAATTTTCCAGGATACCCAGCTGATCCATTTTCACCCAGAGTCATTAACTGATTTTCACTGAAGCCTACAGTCATTTCTTTTCCTAATTCTATTCTCTCATTTCTCTCTAAACATCATCTTAGTTAAGCATTTATCTGTCAGAGACTTCTCTTTGGAAATAGCACAGGCATGGTAGTCAGGGAGAGGACTCAAGCCCAGTCATTCCTTAGCTCCAAAGTTTAATGGCTGTGTACCCTTGTAACTTAGCTTCTCCGCATCTCAGTTTCCTAATCTGTAACACTACTTACCTTATAAGGGGTGCTGTGATGATTAAATAGATGAGTGAGTAACTTAAAGTTTATAGAGCAGTGCCAAGTACATAGTAAATGCTCAAAAGAGTTTGAGCTATTATCATTCCAGTTTTTCCCTCAAACCCAACAACATCCTCCTAAGCAGTCTAGCTAGGGCTTACAATGGAAAACCAAGTCAAAGGTAAATCAAAGGATCAAATAGTTCAGGAATATTGCCTTATTAACTTTTTACTAAGAGAGAATGATTTGTGAATACAGAGGAAAGACACTATAATAAATTCCCAGTTATTATTTAAAATGACTGCATTTATGTGTGTGAACCCAAATATTTAGAAAACATTAAAAATTACTATTAGTATTTGTTTTACTTGTTCAGACTAACCCTTAAATTTGCAATAGTGCCACATAATTTTATAACTAAATTTTATTAAAACTGAATACTTCAAAGAGTTGTAGTTGTGAAATAAATAAATTTTGCTATGATTAATAGAGAAAATCTATTCAGAAAGTACAATATACATGAATTCATGGTACTTGTCCAAATATTACCAGCATACAAATTATTGTGTAAAGTTGTTTCTTACATATAGGATCTAAAACACAAAGAAAAGTGGAATTTGTATTCAAAACAAATAGAAGCAACATTAGCTTCTGTATACTGAAAATATGAGACAGATTTTTTTCTTACGCACTCTAGATATAAATATTAACTGTATGAGTTGAGAACTTTTAAGTTTCAATAATATAATTCGACAAAGTATACAAGTAGAGCTCTATAAATATATCCCCTATAATAATCATATGCAAAACCATTTTATCACAAATACTACCAAAACCCTTTGAAAAACAAAACTACAAACACATTTTAAAAGAAATTATTAGTTATAATAACTACAAATGCAATAAATATCAATAGTTATTTGGCTTTAAAAAATGAAGGGCAGTGTAATGTAAAATTTAAATACAGCAAAGTTGCTTTTTGAAGATGTAGTCTTGAGTATCTTAATACAAGGTACTAAACACTTTAAAAAATAATAAGAATTATTCTATATAATTTAAAGGTGAGCTAGAACTCAAAAAATAAAAAATTAAGCAGCAGATGAAAAGTAGGTATGTAGAAATAATGGTATAAAATATGACTTTATATAAAATGTATCACTTTTCAAATGGTAAGGCTTATTATGAATATTTTTGGATTATGAGTGCTGCACATCATAATTTTTAGAGTAGTCTCAAACCATTCAAAATCCAATATTTCTCAAATATTTTGACTTTGTAAAGTAGACATGGTATAGGATGCAATTTTATGTCAACATATCTATACTGTTCTACCTAATAAAAATATAACCTTTGAGCTCCATAGAGAATGTATCTTGTGAATGTTTGATCTCCATATAAATTCTACTTTTCAGGATGTCAGAATTTTGTAATAAGAACTAATGTCCACCAGAAATTGGCTCAAGTTTAAACAAAAGACACAAAATAGACATAGGTGTCAGTTTAAGTCTGTACTATGCAATTATACAGTCATAACTACTTTTTACATGAAAGTGCTTTAAAGTCAAAATATTTTTGTAAAAGTTAATATTTTTACTAATACTTAATATCCAAGTAGAATTTTTAAAATTAGTGTCATTTTACCCATTTCCTTTGAAAAGCACTCTACTACCACAATGTAAACAAAAAATGGTCCATAAAATGGTGATATTAGACATTTCATAATTTGTGGTATGGGCCCTTGAGACCAAATCTTGATTAATCCAAAGCTAGAGACATTTATTTCTTCCACATGCCCAAAGTAACTAATATCAATTCACATTTTCTCTAAACCTTGAAGAATTTTTATTTAACATAATGAGAGGTTTAATAACTTATATTAAAGACTACATAGGGCTCTTCTGTTGCTGTTCACCAACTGTTTTTATGACGGTAACTCCGAGATCTGGAATGTGACCGAAAATGAGACTGTTTTGCTGATTGTGCTTTACTTTCAGAATTGGTATACCCTTTGGGAGATTTACATGGGGATCTTGCTATGGAGTCAGAATGTCTTCCATGTGATCTTGATTTTGTTCCTGAGCTAGTCTGCTTTTGAGGTGAACTTGATTGTGATTTTCCTATTGACTTGGACCTCTTTTGTAAGGACTTGGACCTTGACCGTCCTCTAGAACCAGAATTCCTTCTTGGAGTTCTTGACTGCCTTGCTGAGGTAGACCGCCTTGGTAGTGATTTGGAACGAGATTTAGACTGGCTATAAGAAAATCGCCTGTGTCGAGACCTGCAAACATCCACAATGTTAGAGCATATATTTCATACAAAACAAGAGATCAGGAAACAACACTTTCAGGAACTTACATACTTTACATAACATTAGTTATGTTGTTACTAGATAAGCTAAAAAAAAAATAGTTCTAAATTTATTATGGATGCTTTTGGTTCAAACATAAGTATCAAGTTTATAATATTTGTTATACTAGAATATATGACCAAAAGATTTTTTACTTGCTAGACATATCTTATATGCATCAGTTCTGAAAATGTCTTGCATATTTAGTCTGGGTTGACAACTCTTATGAGATACAAAAATCTGAAGGAAAAAAAGATCAAAAGAGAGAGAGAGGCCAGACATGGTGGCTCGCGTCTGTAATCCTAGCATTCAGGGAGGCTGAGGTGGGAGGACCACTTGAGGTCAGGATTAGAGACCAGCCTGAACAAGAGCGAGACCCCGTCTCTATCAAAATAGGTAAGAAATTAGCTGGGCAACTAAAAATAGAAAAAATTAGCCAGGTATGCCAATGTGTGCCTGTAGTCCCAGCTACTCAGGAGGCTGAGGCAGGAGGATTGCTTAAGCCCAAGAGTTTGAGGTTGCTATGAGCTAGGCTGACACCATGGCACTATAGCTCCGGCAACAGAGCCAGACTCTGTCAAAAAAAAAGAAAAGAGAAAGAGAGAGAAGAGAAGGAAAACAATTATTTAAAGTTTATCAAATATTCTGAAGTATGCAAAAAAAAAATTTATGAAAAAAAATTTTAAAAAATAAAGTTTATCAAATAATGCTCATAAAAACAAAAACCTAGATGCAGAACTTCTGTGTCCTGCCATGATACAGCAGCTTGTACTAGACTAATCTTCCCATAGAAAATAGCTACATAGGCGGGGCGTGATGGGTCACGCCTGTTATCCTAGCACTCTGGGAGGCCGAGGCGGATTGCTTGAGGTCAAGAGTTCGAAACCAGACTGAGCAAGAGCAAGACCCCATCTCTACTAAAAACAGAAACAAATTAATTGGCCAACTAAAAACATACAGAAAAAATTAGCAGGGCATGGTGGCACATGCCTGTAGTCCCAGCTATTCAGGAGGCTGAGGCAGAAGGATTACTTGAGCCCAGGAGTTTGAGAAGTTGCTGTGAGGTAGGCTAACGCCACAGCACTCTAGCCCAGGGAAACAGAGTAAGATTCTGTCTCAAAAAAAAAAAAGAAAAGAAAATAGCTACACAAAAAAGCTACAAACATTTATAAAACAACTGTTTGAAGGCCTTGGAGAATAACTAACACAAACAGAGCATGAGGGGCTACAATCCTTGGCTCTTTTACTAAGTCCATTTTCTAAAGACAGTATGAGGGAATTAAGCCCAACCAGAAAATGGCTATTTGACTAAGCTGAAGAGACAGAAGTTAGAATTCAGGGTTACCAAAATGTCTGGGACTTGAGAGATGAGGGGATTATATAGACCAAGAGAAACCCCTAAGATCTGCCTATAAATTCTCCTTAAAGTCACTGGCCATCTTCTAATTGTGCGTGTATGGGATGAGACTCCAAGAGGCCAGCAAAAAGAGCAATTGGGAAATTCAAGAACTGAGCTAAACTTTATCAGACACATAGTGCTGGGGAGAGAGGCTGGAGTTCTAGCCCACACAAGGTGCTTTGGGCAACCACCCAGGCTTTCAATTAACAACCCAGAAGGGCGACATCCTAAGGGTAAGTCCATGGCCTGTGAATAAATACAAAACCAAAACAGATCAAATTTAACAATGCCTCAAACCAAGCCTTAATAGAATCAAGGTGATCTGCCAGTATTCTGCCTGCTAGAAGAAAATAACTTTCTTTGGAGGATGATAACATCATGCAGAGCCTCTATAATTTTTCATTCACAATGTCCAACATCCAATAAAAAAATTATGAGGTATGTGAAAAAACAGGCAAAAATGGCTAAAAACTAGGGAAAACTATAGATGAAACATTCCCAAAGTGATTTGAGTATTGGTGTTATCAAACAGGAATTTAAAAAATTAACATGAGTAATATAGTCAAGAAAATAAGAGGAAAAGATAAAACATGAAAAGATGGAGAATTTCAATGGAACACTGGAATCTACAAAAAGAAAAAATGGACATTTAGAACTGCAAATAAATGGTATCTGAAATTAAAAAGACATTAGATGGACTTAACAGCAATCTGGAGAAAGTAGAGGAAATAGTGAAAACATCCTACTGAAACAATGAGAGAAAAGGATTTTAAGAAATCCATAACAGAGTATAAGATACATGTAGTGCATAATCACACAGCCAAGAGGAAAGGCTGAATAAGGCAGACACAATATGTGAAGAGAAAGTGGCATCAACAAAGGCATCAACTCACAACTTCAAAAAGCACAATAAACCCCAGGTAGAATAAACACAAAAGAAAACTACTCTGGACACATCACAGTGAAACTGTTGAAAACCAAAGTCTAAGAGAAAATCTGTAAAGCTGCCAGAGAATAAAAGTTCTACCACCTTCAAAGGAACAACAATAAGATCAACAGATAACAATGGATATCAGAAAGCAACAGAGAGTCCACTTTCTCAAGGCTTCTGGGGGATGGCTTGGGGTGGGGGAGAAGAAAAAAGAAGAAAAGAGAAAGCAACTGAATGGCATTATGAAAGAGAGAAAGAGAGAAAGAAAGAAGAGAGAGAGAGAAAGAGAGAAAGAAAGAAAGGCCAGGCGCAGTGGCCAGCTAAAAATATATAGAAAAAATTAGCCGGGCATGATGGCGCATGCCTGTAGTCCCAGCTATTCGGAAGGCTGAGGCAGAAGGATCACCTGAGCCCAGGAGTTCGAGGTTGCTATGAGCTAGGCTGATGCCATAGCATTCTAGCCCGAGCAACAGAATGAGACTCTGTCTCAAAAAAAAAAAGGAAAACTCAAGATAAATACTGTAAATGTTTAAGAATTTAGGCATGCGAATACAATGTCAGTTGTTATTTCAATAGCTTCATCATTTAATTAGTTTCCACTGTGATCTGCTATTATTCTAATAGAAACCAACCACTGGCTAGCAAAAACAGATCACTTGCAAATATCTCTTCCCCCCAAAATTACTATTTTTATGTCTTCTTTGATACTGCCATACTTGGAATTTATTCTTGATAATAATTTACCTTTTATAAGTAAATTGATTTATATTAACTTTAGTCAACCTCCTTTCACCAGAAAGTTTTCTTTTTCTTTTTTTTTTTTTGAGACAGAGTCTCGCTTTATTGCTCAGGCTAGAGTGAGTGCCATGGCGTCAGCCTAGCTCACAGCAACCTCAAACTCCTGGGCTCAAGCAATCCTCCTGCCTCAGCCTCCCGAGCAGCTGGAACTATAGGCATGCGCCACCATGCCCAGCTAATTTTTTCTATATATATTAGTTGGCCAATTAATTTCTTTCTATTTATAGTAGAGACGGGGGTCTCACTCTTGCTCAGGCTGGTTTTGAACTCCTGACCTCGAGCAATCCGCCCGCCTCGGCCTCCCAGAGTGCTAGGATTACAGAGGTGAGCCATGGCGCCCGGCTTCACCAGTGAGTTTTCTTATGAGTTTAATCACTTTTAGGACTTAAGATTCCAAACTGTTGGGCTCATTTAAGAAAATTTACCTAAAATTAGTCACCTTGTTTATTGAGTGTATGTATTTCTGTATTTTCCCTTTTCTTTGGTATATATTATCTTCCCACTTAAAAAGTTAAAGTTAAGTTTACGTCAGGTGTAGTGGCTCACGCCTGTAATCCTGGCACTCTGGGAGACTGAGGTGGGAAGACTGATTGCTCAAGGTCAGGAGCTGGAAACCAGCCTGAGCAAGAGCGAGACCCTATCTCTACTAAAAATACAAAGAAATTAATTGGCCAACTAATATATATAGAAAAAAATTAGCCGGGCATGGTGGCGCATGCCTGTAGTCCCAGCTACTCGGAAGGCTAAGCCAGGAGTATCGCTTGAGCCCAGGAGTGTGAGGTTGCTGTGAGCTAGGCTGATTCCACAGCACTGTAGCCCAGGCAACAGAGTGAGACTCTGTCTCAAAAAAAAAAAAAAAAAAAAAGTCAAAGTTAAGTCTGTCATGAATAAATACACCAGAAGGTATCCAATAAGCCCAAGTTAAATAACAATACCTTATAAATAAAGAAGAGCATTTTTTTTCTACAAAAATTGTTTATATATATAAAACAAAATGATTCAAGTGGCTTATTTTTAAAAACTCTTAAAATGTTTTCTAGAAAAAGTAGAAAATGAAGTTATCAATCCTCTTGTTTTTTGTACTTACTCTTTAAGGCTATCAGAACGCCTCCTGTTTCTTCCCCATGAAGAACTCCTACTTCGAGTTCTTCTTTGGCTGGGGCTTCTTGATCTCCTATGATCACTTGGAGAACAAGGATGACGTTCTTTTGATTTCATTTGGCCTGGTGCTAGAATATAAAGAACCGGACTTATAACATAATTCATTACCTGAAAACCACAATAACAGCCACTTAACTAGTATCATTTTCAAAATGAATTTTACATAAAAAACCTGCCATCACTGAAACTCATTCTGCTGAATAAACAAGATCTAATGTTTAGTCAGACTTACTTTTGCGATCACCTTGTGCAAACTGTATTTCAATTTGACGGCCACATACCCACTTTCTATTGAGGTTATAAAGAGCATCTTCAGCATCTCGAACATCTTCAAATATGACTAGTTGTTAAGGACACTTTGAACATCAGATATCAAGTAAAAATATTTTTGAAGTATTATTTACATGTGAAATGAAATTAATAGGAAAAAAAGTTCAAGTTATTAAACTCACATTTCCAATATGAATAATCAGAAAAAAACCTTTACTTTTTATTATGAAAACAAATGTCCCATTATGATTTAGAAGAGGGAACATCCCTGGTAGCGTAGTGGTTAGGAAACAAAACAAAACAGAAAGAACAAAAATGTATAACTGTACCTTTATAATGTATGTAATATAATGTGTAGCTGCATTATGCATGTGTAATTTGAAACATGTTACAGAAAAAAAAGTCCAAAATTGGCTAGCATAATAAAGTGAATTTTTTATCTGTAACTTTGAATTACAAGAAAAAAAAATAATAAAGTGAATTGTTTAGGACTCACTCCCTTCTTTCAGAAAGGATCCATCAGGTTTTTCATTGAATATCAGCATGCAGGAAACTTTATTCTGAAATTAAAATTACTTTTTTCATTAAAAGGCTTTTTAATTATGACATTTAGGAGAAATTACTTAAAATTGCACATATACAAGTGAGTTAAAACAAAAACTAATTTTGTCCTTTAAAAATATCTACCTTTGAACCTACCACTTTAAACATTCCTTTATGTTTTTACTACTTGGAATATAAAGTATAAAAGGAACATAAAAGTAATCTGTAAACATCTGGAATTACATATATTGGTTTGTAATACCCTACTAAACTTATCTATATAGATTATATCAAACCTAATTATAATGGATTGGCTATATAAAAATGATTAAATAGCTGTTATATTAGGAGGTTGTTCTCTGTGTTTTTTTTTTAAAAATAGCAAACAGAAAAAGCTCAAGAAATGTAATTCAACATGAGACTTTGGCAATTACCTCAATGTCACTTGATCTTGAACCTTGACCTTTACTCTTTAAGGCTTGCAAGATGGACTTTATAAGAGACGCAGAACCAACAAAATCAGACTTGGCTTTGACTCTGGAACTCTGAGTAAATGTAGGAAAGCCGAAGTCTCAACCTGGTGTTGGCTTTGTCTTTTGCTTGATAAAGACTTCCCCTCTTCCAGGTCTTTATATCTGTGTCCACCCTCCCTCTTTACTCCTTGATGCTTGAACTTTAGGTGCCTTTTGTCTCGGTTTATGCTTGGATTCTAGCTAACAAGTTGGTTCAAACTGGGGGGCGCTTGCCAGCTACTGTGGACTGCTTTAGATTTTCTGAGATAAAAAAATAAACACATTTAATTAGGCAATATTAATCTCATAACATGTTCCTGAATACATATGTATAAGCACATGTATGTAGTATATCACACACACACACAGTAAAATAAAGGATATTGAACATAAGCAAATCCTCTTGGGCGGCGAGTGTAGAAGTCAAGTGGAATGTAAACGTCTACTATAGGGCCATATCGACCAAATTCACGGCGCAAGTCCTCAGGCCTGAAGTGTTTTAGAAATAAGGCAAAGAAATATGAATAGCTAGATTAAAATATTTTGCCTACAGAAATCCAGTTGAAACCTTCAAAAGAAAGAACACTATCTAGACCAGAATTATCTAAAATTGTCTCTCATAAGAATCACACAAGGATTTGAAAGGAAGAGAGGGAAAAAACAGAGTCTCAAGCTTCTCTTGGAGATTCTGATTCAGGAAGTCTGGATTAGGGACTGGAAATCCAGGGGGTTGTTATGGTTAGTCAATTTCCAGAAACACTGACCCAGCACATCTACCTCTGAAAGTTATTACCATTACAAGACTTAATAATTAACTGTTTCATTAAGAACACATTCATTTGCCTCATTATAATTTTATGTTTATGTTAATCTTGTTTTCAGATAGCAAGAATTAGATCCTAAAGAAGTCCTAGAATTATTTCTTAGGCTTTTAAAAAAATGGATATTTTCCTATTAAACATAAAGCAAAATAGCTATAGTATTTTCAAGTTTGACAGTTAATTTGAAACTGCTATATGCCTTCTACTATGATAGGTACTGCAGAAGAAATACCACTGCTAAAAAAATACATAGCATATTTGCCTTCATGGAGCTACAATTTAAATGAAGAGACAAAATATTCAGCAGTAGAACAGTTATAGTACATTTATATATTATTATTATATATTAGCCACTGTTCATCCTAAGACCACTTAATTTTTTTTTTTTTAAGACAGAGTCTCACTCTGTTGCTTGGGCTAGAGTGCCGTGGCGTCAGCCTAGTTCACAGCAACCTCAAACTCCTGGGCTCAAGCAATCCTTCTCCCTCAGCCTCCCAAGTAGCTGGGACTACAGGCATGTACCACTATGCCCAACTAATCTTTTCTACATATTTTTAGTTGTCCAGCTAATTTCTTTCTATTTTTAATAGAGATGGGGTCTCACTCTTGCTCAGGCTGGTCTTCGAACTCCTGAGCTAAAACAATCCGCCTGCCTCTGCCTCTCAGAGTGCTAGGATTACAGGCCTGAGCCACCCCCCCCCACCCCCCCACCCCACCCCGGCCAAGAGTTTTAGTTTTAAAGGACAGAAATGATGTCTTTTTCTTTCACTTATTCATTCAACAAGTACTTATTGAGTACCTACTATGTGCCAGACCCTAGGAATATGGTGAGGAACAAGAAAAACACAATTCCTGCTCCTATAGAACACAGACTATGGGATAAAGATTCTCAGCCATTCCTAAATATTAGAATCATCTATGAATGGGATGTTACAGAAACAGACACCCCAGCCTGATGCATTAACTCTGGATCTAATTAGTGTTTCCCAAAGTAAAGCTCAGTTAGGTTAATTTTTTAAGGGTTTCATAGGCAAGACTAAAGATTGAGAATCACTGCTAAAGCAGGTATTTTCAGCAGCATATCTATATTTAGTGTAGCTGCTGGGCACACAGTAAAAAAAGCACTCAATATAGATTTGTCTATCAATGATTAAAGAACATTTCACTGTTACCATTTAAGAGTTAAGGAGACTGAGGGTAGAGAAGTTACTGTGCCCAGAGGTATACACAGCCAGTAGCAAAGCTAGAATTCAAATGAATGTCTTCTGAACCAATAATCCCATCAACCAAATTGTGGTATCTAAGAGAAAAGGGATCCTAGATAATATAAAGAAGGAGGCTGGAGCAATGTGCGTTGCAGAGGCTTGGAGTCCTAGAAGCTAAGGGTGATGGGAGTATGAAGAAACAGATCTTCTCAAAAGAGCTGGTTTTCATGCAGTATCTCCAATTCCTTAGCTGTTGTTTTGTTTTCATTTATTTTTGCACTTTTGGTGTAATCTACTTCAACATTCAGAAAACTATAGAGAATAGTAAAACAAACTCCTATGCATCCACCAACAAGATTTATATTATCCCGATATTTGCTATAATTTTCAGTATTTTTTAGAAATGAGACATGATAGCCTTCTACTTTATTGGTTCAATCTCTGTTATATTAAAAAAAGAAAAAAGAAAATAATCATTGGTGTTCATCATTTTCCTACACATTTCCATTTTTACTGCAAATGCATGTATCCACAAAAAGGTGTTTTACAAATTTTGCATAAATGGTACCGGATTATTTGTATCTTGCCTTTTTCCCCCTTTAGATTTCTCCATGTAGCTCTAGTTTACTCATTTTAGCTCTGCATGATATTTTTATGAATAAACCACAATTTATTCATATATTTTTATGTGGATGAACATTTAAGATGTTTCCTTTTTTAAAATTTTTGTTTAAATTGCAAACTATGCTGCAGTGCACATTATGGTACATGTTCTCCCTAGAGCTCTGCTAGAGCTCTCTGGAATGTATTATTATACTAGCAAAGGAACTGGTGGGCTGGAGGGTATGGCTATCTTCAGCTTCACTACACGTTCTCCAAAGTGACCCAACCAACATACACTCTCCAAAACATGCATTAGAATTCCCACTGCCCCCCTTCTCATTAACATCTTTCGATCCCTGTTATTCTGAAGGATATGAAGTAAATGTAGTTTTAATTTTAATTTAGCTAATGACCAATGTGTTGCAGCATCTTTTCAGACTCATAGGCCATTTATCTTATTTAAACACTTAGGAGTGGAATTGATGGATCAAAGAGGATGTATGTAATTTACTTACTTTTATACAACTGCCAAGCACTTCTACAAAGTGATTGTACTGTTCAACACTGGTTGTACCATTCAATATCTCCATCAGTAAAGTGTAAGAGTTCCATGTGGTGACAATCTTTGTTAGCACTTGGTATTGACAGTCTTTTTAATTTTAGCCATTCAAGTGGATGTTGAGTGGGACCTGACTGTGGTTTTAAAGTGCATTTCCCTAATGACAAATGATATTGAGCACTTTTTCATGTGCTAATTGGCCACTGTATATAGTACGCCCTCCAAATCCTAAGGTTCAGTATTCTAGGATTCAACTAACCACAGACAGAAAATGTTTTTAAAAACTAATTTAAAAAATACAATACAAATAAAATACACAGTATAACAACAATTTACACACCATTTATGTTGTATTAAATATTGTAAGTAATCTAGACAGACCTGATTTAAAGTATACAAGAGGATGTGCATAGATTATATGTAAGAACTATGCCATTTTATATCAAGAACTTCAAACCGGGTGTGGTGGCTCACACCTGTAATCCTAGCATTTTGGGAGGCTGAGGCGGGCGGATCGTACAACGTCAGGAGTTCAAAACCAGCCTGAGCAAGAGCAAAACCCATCTCTACTAAAAATAGAAAGAAATTAATTGGCCAACTAAAAATATCTATAAAAAATTAGCCGGGCATGGTGGCGCATGCCTGTAGTACCAGGTACTTGGGAGGCTGAGGCAGGAGGATCACTTGAGCCCAGGAGTTTGAGGTTGCTGTGAGCTAGGCTGATGCCACGGCACTCACTCTAGCCTGGGCAACAGAGTGAGACTCTGTCCAAAAAAAAAAAAGAACTTCAGCATCTGCAGATTTTGGTATCCCTGGGGGACACCCATGAATAATACCAAGGGACGACTACATTTTTTTATGAACTGTTTGAGATTTTTGTCCATTTTTAATAACAATGTTTGTCTTTTTATTATTGAGTTCTAAAAGTTCTGGAAACAAGTCCTTTGTCACATATGTGTTTTGTGAGTATTTTCTCCCAGTTTGTAGCTTGAAATTTTTTAATTTTGGTGAAATCTAATCTACCAATATTTTTTTCTTTTATGGTAACTGCTTTGTCCTATAAGAAATCTTTGCTTATCCCCAGGTCACAAAGATATTCTGTTCCTTTTAAAAGCTTTATAGTTTTTTTTTTACATTTTGATCAATGAACCAGGCTCAAATTATGATGTGAGGCAGTTCATTTTTTTCCTCTACAGATATCCAGGTGTTCCAGTACTATGTGTTGAAAAGGCTTTCCCTTCTCCAATGGATTGCTTTGCTGCCTTTGTCAAAAATCAATTAACTCTGTAAGTGTGAGTTATTTATGGACTCTCTGTTCTGTTCTACTGAACTATTAGTCTACTTTTAGGCTAATACCACATTATCTTGATTAATGTATCTTTTTAGTAAGTCTTGAAGTCAGGAAATTTAAATTTTCCAGCTTGTGTCCTTTTTCAAGATTATTTTGGCTATTCTAGATCCTTAGCATATCAATATAAATTTAAAATTAACTTGTCATTTTTTAAAAAAAAGGCTTTGATCAGGATTGCCTCAAATCTATAGATCAATTTGGGAGAGAACTGATAACAATTTGTTTTCTAATCCATGAATATGGTATATCTATAAATTTATTTAGGTCTGTTAAACTTTATCTTGGCAAAATATTGTAGTTTTTCAGTGCAAAGGATTTTGCATATTTTTTGTTACATTTATTCCTAGTATGCTTTTTGATGCTATGATAAATGAAATTTTTAAAAAAGTGAAAAGAGAGAAACAACAAAAAAAAATAAAAATAAATAAAAATAAAAAAAAAATAAAAAAGTGGAGAACAGGAAGGGCAAAAAATAAATAAATGAAATTGTTTTTAAAACTCATAATTTTTAATTGTTTGCTCTTATATATATAGAAATTAAGTTTTCATAAATTTATCTTGTATCCTGATAATTTACTGAAATCATTATTATAGTAGTTTTATTGTTGTTAATTTCTTGGTGTCTTTTATGTAAACATGTCACCTAAGAATGGGGACCAATTTTACTTCTGCCCTTCCAATTTTTGTCTTTTCATTTTTTCTTGCACTCATTAGGACTTGCAATAAAATGCTGAATGGAGATCATGAGAGTAGGCATCCCTGTCTTATTCCTGATCTTAGAGGGAAAATATACAGTCTTTTACCATTAAGTATGATGTTAGCTATAGGTTTTTCATATATGCCCTATATTAGGCTGAAAAAGTTCCCTTCTCTTCTAGTTCTCGTTGAGACTTTTTATCATGAATGTTGCTGAATTTTGTTTAATGCTTTTTCTACATCACCATAAAACACATACCCTCAAATACACTGTAACCAAAGAATGCTACTAAATAGTTCAACAGAGGACTGTTTAGCATCTTGATGGTTCCTCCACAACATAAGATATGCATCAAAATGGGAATGCTGTAGTTGAGATTTAGACATTACTTTGTTCCATTAGTATACTATATTTGACATTTTAAAAAATTATTCTAGCTCTACACAGTAAAAAAGCAAAAGTATTAATATTTTTCCTAGTGCACATCTTGTTTCACCAGTGGAAAGAAACATGATACAAATTTAACAAGTTATTTTAAAATTTTCTTCAGTTACTGTGCTCAATTTCATTTCTGTCAAATTTTATGCTAATTCATAATATCTTTTAATGTCTTCTGCTTTACAGTATTTATTAAAATGGCCACCTCAAAGAAACATTTTAAAGAAAAGTTGTCTTTGTTTTAAAACATCCTTATTAAATAAAACTTGAAAAATATTTGAAAATAGGAAAGAAGACAATCAGTCAAGTCCTACCCAAATGAATTTCTTTCTAGACTTATTTTCTATATTTTTACTTTCTTTCATTTTTTAATACACAGTCAAGTGCTGCATAACAAACATTTCTGTCAATGATGGACCCCGTATGTGACAATGGTCCCATAAGATTATATATAATGAAGCTGTACTATACAAGAGTACCATTTTCAAAATTTTTTATACTATATTTTTACTGTACCTTTTCTATGTTTAGATATGTTTTATTTTATTTATTTATTTTTGAGACAGAGTCTCGCTTTGTTGCCCAGGCTAGAGTGAGTGCTGTGGCGTCGACCTAGCTCACAGCAACCTCAAACTCCTGGGCTCAAGCAATCCTACTGCCTCAGCCTCCCAAATAGCTGGGACTACAGGCATGTGCCACCATGCCTGGCTAATTTTTTCTATATATATTAGTTGGCCAATTAATTTCTTTCTATTTATAGTAGAGACGGGGTCTCACTCTTGCTCAGGCTGGTTTCGAACTCCTGATCTCGAGCAATCCGCCCGCCTCTGCCTCCCAGAGTGCTAGGATTACTGGCGTGAGCCACCACGCCTGACCTAGATATGTTTTAATATACAAATACTTAACAATGTGTTACAACTGCCTACATTATTCAGTATAGTAACACGCTACACAGGTTTGTAGCCTAGGAGCAACAGGCCATACCATGTAGCCTAAAACTGCAGTGAGCTTTTACTGGGTCATACATTTGTATTCACCCACTGATGAAATCACCTAATGACAAATTTCTCAATTTATCTCCATTATTAAGCAATATAAGATTATAATTGAAATCATATTACATATATAATTTTATACCACATTTATACTGTCTAACATTTTTATCCCAATGATTTCTTTATAAGCATACTAAATGTTAAAGCTAATTTAAAATATGTCTAGGTGTCATATTGCTAGTTAACTTACACTGTATATCACCTCATAGCAAAAGGTTGTTAATACAGGTTACATGTGATGATTATACTTTCATAACACCACACACTAGCTATGCAATCTTGGGTAAGATACTTAACCTAAATCTTAGTTTCTTATCTGTAAAATGGGGTTAATAAAGATCATACATTATAGGAATATTGAGAAGATCTTTTAATAAGCTATGTAAAGTTTTTAGTACAGCACCTGGCATAGTGAATATTTAACAATTGTTAGTGATTATTACTTCATTAAGACAAAATAACCTTGTAGATTTTGACTGCCTGCTAGTAGCAGCACTAAAAAGTGGTGAAAAATGGAAAAGGAAATTAAATTTTAGTTATCAGTCTCAGTTACTCAGTGGTGGATTACCTATATCAGAGGTTAGGTATCACCTGCAGATGTGTTCTATTTGGCTTGCACAATGTTTAAACATTGTTAGAATGTGTGGAAACATGAAATTATTGGAAACATGAAATATTTTACAGCTCTTAAATGTCATTTTAAAACTTGAGTTTACAAACACAATATCTATATTTCTGACTTCTCTTGAAAATTAGGAAAATGTGGCAACAAGGAGCCCAAATGCCTGCATGGCAGCTATCAGCTGGAGCTTAGTAGCAGATGCTGCTCCTTTTAGATGGCATGTGTCCTTTTCCATTTGCTACAGTCCACTTCATGCTACTGTGCCTTATAATCTGACAAATTCACTCTTTTATATTACTGTGGCTGGCCCCTGTGACCATTAGAATTGTTTCTATTTATTTATTTATTTCAGACACACAGGAGGGGCTTTAGCTTGTTCAGTTTTCAAGTGAAAACTGTTTAACTATGGGATTTGTTTTCACCCTGCCCAAATCATAAATTTTGCTTGTGTTTTCTATGTACTGACAAACATGTTGAGAGAAGAAATATAAACACAGGCATCTTTTAGATGTTAACTAAGATATGTTAACTAATAAGTCTATAGTTGTGACATGTATATTGGTGGCAATCAAATAAAAAACACCTAACATTTATTTACTCTTTAAAGGTAAATTACGATGCTCCACATGACTATGGAGTCAAGAGGACCACATATTTGTACGTGTCTAGCTCCAGGTAAGTCATTAAAACTCAGCTTCAGATTTACCTTGTGTATAACAAGGTAATACTGCACACCTTAGCAAGGTTGGAGGGGGGAGGAAATTAAGTAAGCCCAGTGAAATGAAAAGTCTACTAACAACGCCTCCCACCGCCCACCCCCCAACCCCGCCCCATTAAAGAAAGAAAGAAAAGTGCTACAGGAAGAAGTCATTCTTTAAGATCTATGTTTAGACACTATGTAAAAAGAATTCTCCAGGGAACCGGGAGGACTTAAGAGCATCAGAATCAACCAGGTGAAGCCCAACCCAACCGTTATTAATACTGCACTCAGAACTTTAAAGAAAAACGTACAGATCTCATCCCCTGAAGTTATCTTTTGTATTTACGATACCATCGCATAAAGAACATTCAACCAGCACCATCTGCAGCAGATCAGAACTGGGGGGAAAGAAATCGCAAGGCCCGAGGTGGTACGCATTATTTTGCCGCACGTTCTCGTCGCCCTCCAGTCTCCATCCTGGAGGGCGGGCGGGACACGCGGTTGTGCCGGGCCGGCGGCGACAAAGGGGCTGGACGCGGGCCCTGGCGGGCGGGCGCACCCGCGGCGAGGGGCGGGCAGGGACCGGGCACCGGCGGGCGGCGGGGCGGCGGCGCGAGTCCGCGGGCGCGGCGCAGCCCGGGCTCACACCGCGCCGGGCGGCGGGCGCTCCGAGCAGACCCGCCGGGCCGGGCCCCGCTCCGCGGCGCGGCCGTTACCCGCCCCTCCCCCGCGCCCCGACCTGCAGCGGCCGCCGCTCACCTGGTGGCGTCCGCGACGTTCCTGACGAACAGGGAGGTGTTGGGGGGCCTCGTGTAGCGAGACATGACCGCTGCCTCCGTCCCCTCCGCCTCTGCCCGCGGCCGCTGGGCTCGCTCGGTCCCTCACCGCCGCCGCCGCCGCCGCCACTGGAGCTCCGCCGGCCCCGGCGCGACCCCTCCCGCGCTCGGCCGCCAGCGCGCAGCCGCAGACGCGCGCGCAGGGGCGCTGCGCGGCGCGAGCCGGCGCTCGGACGCGGGGCGGGCGGGCGGGGCCGGGCTCTGCGGGACTCGGGACGGGCGGCGGGGTCCCGCTGTGTCCGGAGGGCGGAGGCCAGAGGGAGGCTCGGGCCCAGGCGGGGGAGCCCGGGTCGGCGAGAAGAGGAGGGAGGGTGGCGCGGCTGGGGTGGGCGTGGGTCGGGGTGACGGCCGCGCAGCAGCTCGGCCGCCGCTGGGGCCTGCACCGCAGCGTCCTCCGCTCGAGACCTTCGCAATCGTTAGGCCTCCTGCGCTTGCAGACTTGAGCGTTAGGCTGTTTAACTGCGACATCCTGGGTTGGTTGGTTCGCTTTTTTCATGTTTGGATTCTTCATCCGTTATTCGCTTGGGGCGTACTATCAGCTGTGAGTGCATTCGTGCAGATGTTTGAGTGTCTGCTACCGCCACGCACTGTTGTAGTGCGGGAGACAGCGCTGAACACACAGGCCAGGTCCCTCCCCTCAAGAGTTGGCATTCTAGGGAGGGGGCAGACAACAAAGGAATGAACACATGATGTAGAAGAAAGGTGTCAAAATGCTGTGTCCATTAAGCAAATATAAATTATCCTCTTCCCATTCCTCCAGAATGTTGCCCATCACTTTCTAGTTATCCTCTCTTTCCTGTGGCCGGCACAACCAGTTACCCAGGGCTGGGACTATAACCAGGTAACTCAGACATACGAATAAGGCCCCCTTTCGCTCTCAGAAGTGGTCTGCTTTGGGGGTATAAGTGGTAGAATCGCCCTACCTAGCCCAGAGCCTGCTCAGAGGCTGTGGAGGCTCCTGTGTCTGCAGCGCTTCTGCAACAGTGTCTGTTCATTCATGCGCAAGGGATGGGCACAGTGGGCACAGGGCTAGACTGGGAATGGGTGGTACGGAGGGAAGGCAAGGTGCCTATTCTTATGGAGGTTACAGTTTGGCAGGGAAGCAGAATCTAATCACCTCATTGGTAAAGATACAAACAATGACAGGGGCTGTGAGAAGAACTATGTGCTGCCGAGAAGAGACCTTATTGGGGGGGTGGTGAGCGGAGCTAGAGGGTCACTTAACTTTTTTGAAGTCTTGAAGCCACAGCTAAAGAATGGAGAAGAGCAGCTGGTGCGATGGAATGGCATGTGCAATGGCCTTGAGGCAGTATAAGAAATGAAAGGAAGCAAACAGGAGCGTAAAGCTGGAGAAGAATTGGAAAATGAGGCTGGAGAGCAGGCTGGGTTTATAATCAGAAAGTTTGCAGTGCTGACTATGTCACTAGGGCTGCGGTAACAAATTAACACAAATTTGGTGGCTTAAAACAACAGAAATGTTTTCTCTTGTAGTTCCGGAGGCCAGAAATCTGAAATGGAGGTGTCTGCAGAGCCATAGGGCCATACTCCCTCTATAGATGCTAGGGGAGAATCCTCTCTTGCTTTTTCCAGTCTCTGGTGGACCCAGGCACTCCTTGGCTGTGGCTGCATAGCTCCAGTCTCCACTTCTGTGTTCTCATGGCCTTCTCCTCTTTGTGTCTTCTCATCTGTCACTTTTAAGGACACTTGCCATGGGATTTAGGGCCCTCCTGGTTAATCCAGAATAATCTCATCTTGAAATCCTTATATATACCTATACCTGCAAAGACCCCTTTTCCAGATTAAGACATATATTGGGGGTTAGGATGTAGGCATATGTTTTCTCGGACCACCATTAACCCATTATGCTTACTTTGCAAAGAAAAGAAACTTAACCTGGTGGGTAGCATTACCCATTTCCTGACATATTGTTACGTGGAGAAAAAACAGTTCATTAGACTCTATGTAAACTATGAACCTATTTAGTTAAAAAAAAATATATATATATATATCATATATGTATTTGTTTTTGAGACAGAGCGTTGCTCTGTCGCCCCAGCTAGAGTGTTGTTGGGTCATCATAGCTCACTGCAACCTCAAATTCCTGGGCTCAAGGGATCATCCCACCTTGACCTCCCAGGGTGCTAGGATTACAGGCATGACCTACCGCAGCTAGCCTAGTTAAAAATACATTTATCTGTATGCTCATGTATAAATAGACCAAGTAGAGATATTATACTCTAATTTTTACTTTCTTCTTCTTACCTTCTGGTACTGTCCGATTATTTTTTAAATGCTTTTTACAAATATAGGAAAAAACTCCACAAACTCATTACTGTTTGAAAAAAACTTTTGTAGGACTACGTGAAAAGACTTATTGTGAATGGAGGGTAGTTTTTTCCTGTTTTTACTGATGGAAGTATCTAAGGAAAAGGTGTTAAACTGTGAAAGAAGATTCAGTTAGAAACTTAAACTTTAAAGGTAGATGGAATTGTTATAAAATAAGTTGTGGAGCCATAATTATTTATATTACATATAAAATGTACATTCTTTCTATTTCCAGATGTGATTTGAGGCAGTCAAGTGTAAAAGTGTAAGTAAACTGCTTTCTGGTTGGAACGTCTGAGGAGAGAACACTGTCAGGCATGGACAACTAAAGAATGTTGTTATGCTAGGTTTGGTCAGTATCTTGACCAGGCCTTTAAATAAATTGAGTTGACTAACTGATGAAGCTGTACTTAGTCTTTCCTTTGGTGATTTAGTATACTCAAAGAAGTAGAGAAAGGCTTAGGTCAAGCCTAAATACTCCACCTGTCCGTGGACTCACAAACATATTCATAATTAACCCTACGTCCTAGAACTTGGTTCAGTGCCATTTAGCAAAAGTATTATTTTATTGAATCATTGTTTTAAAGCACCAAATGATACCCTACAGGCTTACAAGGGTTAATGTTCTTTCTGAATTGTGAGAGGATTCCCAAAGGGTGTACCACTGGCAAATCTGACAATTGTTTAATAACTGTAGCTGCTCTTTTACATCAGAGTTTAATGTATTGTTCTTTAACGCATTACTTCTTTCCCACTTAATACATTCTAAAAATTATGGTTGATATAATGCTTCTGAATTTTTTTCCCCTAAGAGAGATAGACTTCAATTTGAAAATATTTAAAGAAAATCAGTGTCATTTCTCATTTTGATACTATCATTACTTTATCTTATACAGTTCCATAAATAAAGAGCATTGCAAGAAAAATTCAGAATATTTTTTCGATGTGTTAAAATTTGTCTTAGGGGACAAGTCTTTAAAATCAACAGTATATGTTATATTTAAAATACAGGCATATATAAATTTATTTCTAAAATTTGGGTGTTTATTCCTTAGACCTGTCTTTAGGGAAATTGCTGATATGACAATTTATTGTCATTTATAATCTAAGCACTTAGGAACTTCCCCCCTACCCTCTACGTAAGTGCCCATACCCTAAGCTAGCTGTCTCTTATGCTTTCTTTTTTTTCTGGTAGCCAGGTCTCTTACAGTCTTTTTGTCACTTAGGAACATCTATTCTAAGTGATGCAAAAGAAACATAAACCTCTCAATTTCATCAATAAATTTTGGGAAGAAGAGTTTGAATGTAGAAAATTACTATTTCTGGGCTGTTGGTAAAATTCAAAATTCAAAGCTATCCCTATTTCTTTAAAAAAAACACCCTGTACTTTATTATATCTCAAACAAGAAGCAGTACAATTAATCAAAGTATACACTTAAACTATCAACACAATTTTGCCATCTTGATGGTAGCTTATTTATGCCAACAGCAAAGAAGCCTGGAGAGCAAGCAGCAATGAAATCTTGAAAGGCGTTTTCCACAGCTTGTTGAGAGTGAATAATTTTCCTTGCAAAAAGTGGTCCAAAGCCTGGGAGAAGTGGTAGCCAGTTGGTGCAAGGTCTGGTGAATACAGTGGATAATAGAGTGTTTCCAAGTACAGCCTCTGTAGTTTGAACAGCGTTGTTTGTGCAACATGTGGTTGAGTGTTGTCTTACAAGAGGATTGGCCTGTCTCTATTGACCGATTTCAGCTGCTTAATAGCAAAATCGCAAGCATCCTCATCATTTTGTCTAATTGGTTGCAGTAGACATCCACTGTAATGGTTTGACCAGGTTTCATGAAGCTGTAGTGGATAATACCAGCACTGGACCACCAGACAGACATCATTAGCTTTTTATGATGAATATTCTGTTTTGGACTGTGTTTTGGCATTTCATCTTTAACCAACCATTGTGCTGAACACTTGGACTGTCCAAAAGAATGAAAGAATTCCTTTTCATCACACATAACACTACAGTGTAGAAATGGTTCACCTTTGTCGTGACAGTGAAAAAAGGCAAGCTTCGAGATGATTTCTCTGCTTATGCTCATTTAATTCATGAGGAACCCATCTATCCAGCTTTTTTACCTTGATGGTTTATTTCAAATGGTCCAATATTGTTGGAATAGTAACATCAAACCTTGTTGCTAATTCATGTGTAGGTAGAGATGGTTTGCTTCCACTACAGCTTTCAGCTCATCATTTTCCACCTTGGTTTCAGGTCGCCCACATGGCTTATTTTCAAGGTTAAAATCACCAGAATGGAACTTCTGAAACCATCAATGTACTGTGCATTCATTAGCCACATTCTTCCCAAACACTTCATTGATATTTTGAGCTGTCTGCACTGCATTGGTTCTA